TATTTATTTTTTTTTTTTTAACTTAAATCTTGGGAAACTTCAACTATTTTAAGGAAAATGTCCTTACTTATATTGTGATTTTGTAGAATAGAATTACATTATTTTAAATTGGTATTCCTTTTAAGGCCTCTAATTAGTGAGTTAATATTACAGTTTTATTTTGTAATTCCTGTTAATTTTTGTGTGCATTGTCTATGAATATTAAATGATAACGTAAAACCTTTAGGGAAGAATATTTGTTCTGCCTGTAATAATATCATTTATCATCATATCGGGTTCAGGGTCCTCATAATCTGTTATTGCTCCATTTACACTTAGTTTTTTTCATGTTCCTGTTTGAATCTGATTTCTTCCAGAGGTTTCAAAAGTATTAATGTTTATTACTCAAGTAGAACTAGAAATCCTACTGTTTAAAACACGTTTCTAGGAGTTACATTATCAACTTCAGTCTTTTTATTAAGATAAAAGTGCAAATGTAAATATTTTAAACTACTTAAAGTATAGAGGATATACTGTAGTGGTTACTGCACAACTGTATTGAAGGAACATTTTTCTACAATTCTGGATGATAATTTCCTTAGACTTAATTGTCCTAGTTTCATAACTAATGGCAAAAGAGTGAAATTTAACTTTGCATTATCTTGAAAAACTATTTATTTTGGTATGTAGTTAACAACAAGTTGGTGCAACACCGAGTCCAACCACAAATTAATTAATTATCTGGATAAAACAATTTTTTTGATGGTGTTAATTTTTTTCATACCAGCAGGCCATAATGAAGATGAGCTGTAATGAAGCAAAACTAACAAGTCTTTTGTAAATTGTAAGGAGTAGAAAGTAGATATAATAAAAAAAAATAAAATAAAAAAAAAGAAATGTAAGGAGTAGTTGTCTAAAAAATAATATTACAACCAAGTATAGACAGCCAAAATTTCTACCTAATTAAGGTACCGAAGTATTTGGACTTTGCTACTTGACGCCTCTGATTCCTTAAGTCCTCAACGCCCACTAAAGTGAAAAAAACATTAAATAGGAAGCAGTGATTATTTACTTTAAAATGATCCAAGCATGTTTTAAATGTTTCAAAGAAATAATAAGAAAAAAAAACCCTCTCGATTTAACCCTTTAAAGCCTGAACCATGAAATAATTGAAAGAACATTGAAATTTTTGAAAAAATTAGATTGTCATTAAACTTTTTGAAAAATGTTGTATTGGTTAAATTAGATCATTTATTTACCTCAAATGTGATACATTAGGCAATTCCGTATAATCTTTAATACACTTTCTGTTTACTGCATGTGTCTGAATATTTAAGTTATTGTTTCAACAACAAAAATATCAAAATGATGATGCAGAAATCTCACAAACTCGTGTATCAAATATAATACAGTTGACTTTAAAGGGTTAATGATGGAGGATATGTAACCTAAGGCACTGAAGGCTTATTGACCTGTTGTGATAGACACTGTATTATTATTTACTTCAGCAAAGATCTTTTCCTCAATCCATAGATTTGAAGAAGATAACAAAAACATAAAAATAATAGCCAGGTTAAACAAATGCACTTTGTTCTTCTGTTTGCTATATCTCAAATTTACTCTCATATAATGGTTTGGAAAATATATATGAGATTCAACTGTTTTCCGCACTGTGATATGCATCAAATAGCACCTTTAGGAAAAGAGGGTAGGCTGAAAAAAGGCAATTATTTTATTTTTTTTTTCGTTGTTGGTCTCTTTTTTTTTTTAGACTTGGTCAATATACATTTGCAAAAGATAAATAAAAAATATATAGAAGAAATGAAATACTTGGTAGTTATTTTATAGTTTTAAGAACTAGGGAGATTCGCTATCTTTGGCTGATTTTTGACTGAAATTCAATATTGTTTTCGAAAATGCCATGGTATGTCTATGTATCAACTTGATACATCTTAACCCTTTATAAGGCAATTACAGTTTTTGATCACTTGCTTATAATGTTGCCCTTACAAACGGAGTCCCCCCCCTAGTGCTTCTAGACCTCAGTGAGGTCTAGAAGCACTAGATCTATACCCAGCCATTCAGCAAAGATACTGCTACATGGCTGTACATCTGATTTGGGCATTAGACCAATTAGATGAGTCCTTGAATGATATATTACCTACTGGAAATTAAGTTTAAAAAAAGAAGGAGAAAAAAAAGGTAAAAACCTAATTGAAAAGTTAAAAAGTAAAGTTAAAAAGTGAATAAGCCTAATTAACAATTATATTTAGGCTTATAAACAAAAAAAAAACAAAAAAAGTAAGTGCCACTATCAGCATTAATGCCTCTAAGGTTATGTTGGACCAAAAAAAGTGTTTCTTCTACTCAGAGTGTTTTTCCTGGATTTCTTATAGATGCACTTATGTTATTTACAATCAAATATCCATATTTTTTGAATGTTACAAAGGTAATAAGGCACAGACCTAACTTTCTGAGGGACTGTTGTGGACATGTCCCCACAAATAATTTCAATACATAGACTTTGACAATATGTGGGACGAATTTCTAAATTTGATTTTGCTGCTTTTGAAGGAGGACATTCACCAATGTAGAGGTAAAAGGGAAAACATCGATCAATCAATCCACATTTTTCTGGATGGATGAATATAACTGAAATTGTGTGCATACTAGGGAGGCGTGACATATTGCTGGTATTCCTCTTTTTTTTAATACATTAATGTCTAACTACTCATGAATATAAATATCTGTGTATTTTGGTTCTTTTGTGCACTCACTTGAAAGCACTCAATAAGTATATGTTTGAGCTCATTTTTGGAAAATACAAACCCTATTGAAAGCGTTTGTGTTGATTAACTGTAGGTCCATCAGCCCCCACCCTTAAAGTGTCCCCACCAACTTTCATCACAAAGTTACACCCTTGTAATAAGGTATTTTTCTGGATTTCAATAACACTATTGGCTTGATTTTTTTTTTTCCTATAAAGGGTTAAACTGTCCTAACTCCGCCTGCTTGTGCGCCGCCAGCCGCGCCGGCGTGTAAATGAAGCGGAGTCAGGCGGCGCTGTTGTGAAGTGAAACGGAAGCGGAAAACAGCGGGCTCGTTTGAAAGGAAGAATCCGTCGCCCTGGTAACTGCGTCGAGAAAAAGTTTCATCCGCGTTTTGATGAGGGACGAGAGGAAGAGCTGTCAGACGATAATCAGGCGGTCATTTTGGTCATGTTTTAAAGCTGTCTACCGGAGTGACGTCACGGTATTAAAGCGTAAATATGACCATTAACCGTTAGGAGGGAGGCTCTGGTTAGCGGTGTTAGCCATAATAGCATCGTTTATCGGCGCTAGTTCTGCTTCTGCTTTGGTTTCCCTTCGCTGTCGGTTCAAAATGTGCTCACATGAGAACAGCCGCGTCCTGGTTCTGGAGGAGGAGGTGAAGAACTTATCGGAGGAGTTGATACAGTGCCAGGTATGTATGGCTGTGCGATCATACCCTCCATTAGTATGTTATTATTAAAAGGTTGTATTCTACACCAACAGTATGAATGCATATATTAGTATTTTGGCTCAGAAATGTTGGAGTACTATTTGATCAGCAGTTTAATCTAATAAAAACATACTGAATGTTATATTTTTTTCCTGGTAAAAATATAACAGAGTCTCCATAAAAACCAGGATGTAAAATTCTCGCTTTGCACTTTAGGAGATTCCCAAATTTGACACGATAAGAGAAAATAATCCCTGGTCAACTCAATGCTTGCAGATCCCCACATCACCAGGGCTTCACCACCATGCTGAACAACTGGTTCAACATAGCTTTGTTTATGCTTTAATTCTATGTCACTCCTAATTGATTTAGAAATAAGATGTTTGATAAATACAGCTTATACAGTATGTTAAACAATAAATACAAAATTTAAATGGCAAATAAACATTAATAACCCAACTTATTCATTAAATATTTGGTTAATTAATGTCAATACGTTTTACTGGAGAAGGTTCTTAAATATGCTGATTCTCTGAAATCAGTTTGCTGTATTTGGAAATACGATCAGACGAGTGGGTAACCAGTGTTGGGATGTGATGCTGTTGTTGGCTTATATGCAGTCTGTTCTTTCAAGTCCTCTTGTAATCTGGTTCATAGCTGATGTAAAAGGGAACTAAATTGGAGGAAAGAGAAGAAGCAAAGCAAACGATGGGACCATCTGAGGAAGAAAAAGAACAGGGTTGAATGTGCTCTTTTTTTTATCTTCTTGATGTTAGATTTTGAAAATGTTTAGGCCAGGTTATGTTTATGTCCTGATTTGTAAAAACTTTTCTTAAAATAGGTGCTTTCTTTCTCCCTGCAATGACTTCTCTGTCACATTTTAAAGAGATCTATGTCTAGTTGAACATCCATTCATCTTCTCCCGCTTATCCGGGGTCGGGTCGCGGAGGTAGCAGCTCCAGTAGGGAGGCCCAGACATCCCTCTATCCAGCCAGCTCTTTCGGGGGGAATCCCAAGGCGCTCCCAGGGCAGCCGAGAAACATAGTCCCCCCAGCGTGGAACACCTCACCAGGGACACGTCCAGGAGGCATCCTAATCAGATGCCAGAGCCACCTCAACTGGCTCCTCTCGGTGTGGAGGAGCAGTGGCTCTATTGAATCCTCCCCGAATTACTGGGCTCCTCACCCTATCTCTAAGGGAGAGCCCAGACACACTACGGAGAAAACTCATTTCAGCCGCTTGTATCTGGAATCTCATTTTTTCAGTCATGACCCAAAGCTCATGATCATTAATGAGGGTAGGAACATAGATCAAACGGTAAATTGAGAGCTTTGCTTTTTGGCTCAGCTGTCTCTTCACCACAACAGACCGGTACAGCGCACGGTTCACAGCAGACGCCGCATCAATCTGCCTATCGACCTTCCGCTCCATCTTCCCCTCATTCATGAACACATTGAACATATTGGTCTAAATAAGTTGTAATTTTCCTATTTACTAAAAATATGCTGTTTGTGGTATGAAAAAACTCAATTACTTCAAAAATAGGGATGGACTGAAATTAAATAAAAATGCTCGGCCAGTACTAAAAGGGAAACACCATTTTTTTTTTTTTTTTACATTGGCCCCTTGATTTTACGTTATTACATCATGTTCTTCTCACCCATATGAGTTTTGTGTCATTTGGAGCCGTTCTGAAGATATTCTGTTAGGTTATATCCAAGTAACGTCTTCCTATAGGCAAAGACTTGAGGGCACAAACTAAACTGTTCATAATTTATTCTTTATGGTTCGCCAGCATTCATAACATGTAGGGGAATCAGTGTCCCCCAGACATCTGCGGTTATACTTTTTAAAAACAAAGCGGAATGTGAATGACGTCATCTGCGCGCGCCAGCTACCATTCATTCATCCTGTCCGCTGAACTGCTGCTAGTTTTACTCACATACCTGGATGATGTCTAGTGCTACTACCAAAGAGGATCTCGCTCTCCAAATGGAATTGAACGATTCAGATTAGCTAGCCGAATTAATAAAAGGGGTAGAGCGTAGCCGCTTGTGGCCCGGGCTGCCTGTCACAACTCCAGTCTGGTGCGCGGATGACGTCATACACATGTGTGTCTTTATGACGGCTATGGCTGGTGGTTCTAACGTCAAACTCCTGTTGGACCATTTGCACATCATGGCAACCAGGCGCATGTTTACTTTAGTTTTTCTCTCAGTGAGTCTTACTAGACACGTTTTTATCATGCTTCTATGAGTTAAATAAAATTATTTTACACTCTCAGGAAAAAAGTGATTGATTTAAAATTGATGTAGTCTTGGTTTATGCCAAAATGATGATTGTAATTAAAGCATTTACACAGCTGGATTTCATGTTTTCATAAAATCTAAAAATCAATGTAAATGCTTATGTTTTCACTTTTAATCAGTGCTTTAGGATTCTTTGCATCCCCACCACCAGGTGGTGGCCAGCATACCTCTGCAGGTAGACAGACCTGGATGTCAGGCATTTACCTCGCTTTATAGCAGCTCTGCATTGCTGTTAGGCTGGTTTTTTTTGCCTTTAATTTGAAGAATCTTACAGAACTATTCTGTAATCTGCTGGATTAACTCATGTCTCTGAACTTCAGGGGTCAAAGCTGAATCCAACAGTAGTATTCTCTTTACATTTTTATAGATATGTCCCATTAGTGGGTTTCCCACAAATTAAAAATGACTTTTTCTTATTTGTAGGAGAATAGCGGGATGTTTTTTTTTTTTTTTTTTTTTTTT